GATTTATCATCTACGGGTTTATATCGAATTAATTTGATGGCCTGCTCCCAGTTGGCTTGTTAGCTCAATTGGTAGAGCGCTGCACTAGTATCGCAGAGGTCAGTGGTTCGAATCCCGTACAGGCCTGAAATTTTTTTCAGGTCTGATTTCCACTATTGCTCAAATAGTGCTTTACTGCGAAGGATCGTGCTCATATAAAATATAATTATTATTATATCGGCAGTAAAAACGTCTAGATGCCCAGATATCCAGTACAATGATTGTGTGGCAAGCTGTGGCCAATCAATGCAGCGACTAAAGTCCTTACAACTAAAATTCTTGTAGCAATTCCTAATCATGACAACCCTAGTAATAAAAATCCTAAATTTAATTTCTATGTGGTAAAACCCTCAAGCAAAGTACTAAAGGTTCCATACATCACTATGGAAACACTTAAATGTAATAAAACATCTAATATCCCTTATTTCAAACCTTAAAGCGCCTCGCAATATTGAGCGAACTATGGCAATTCCTAATCATAAAAACCTTAGTCCTAAATGTAATCGCTATTTGGTAAAATCCTCAATCTAAATACTAAAGGTTCTATACACCACTATGGAAACACTTAAATGTGATAAATAATGGTAATTGAACTGAGTGGAGTGCAATTTGGGCTGAAATCATACGCGTGGTTTCAAAATCGAACGAGCGCGCAGCGCGAGTTTGATTTGAAATGACAAGTATGATTTCAGACCAAAATTGCACGGCTCGAGGTTCAATTACCACTTTATTGCATCCATTTTGAAATCGCCCAAATACAGGACTTGGTCAATTCAAATATTTTGTTGATGCAGTTCTGAGCCAGTTTTTAAATAAAAAGTGGAACCGGAAACGCCTTTACATCTTATTTTGTATGCAAAATAGAAAGACTTTGACGTCATGTGTCAAAAACTCAGTCAAGCGTAAAATTATGCGATTTAGAGCAAAAAATGGTACGATTCGTAAATAGATCGCACCAATTAGTGCCAATAAGGAGATTACAGGGATCACCAGTGATTTCAAATGGATGTAATAAAACGTCTAACATCCCTTATCCCTAAATCTTAAAGCGCCTCGCAATATTGAGTGAACTTGTGATGACTGGCTTCTGTATTTGCAGAGCTGTTGTGTCTTTCCCATCTCCCACTAGCTCTTTAAGTGCCTTTCTAACATTTCTTGAATAACCTCCGAGTACATCCACAATGATATTGTATTGTGTCACACGATGATTAGTAGGGTATCTCTGCTCAAGGTCCCAGTGCAGTGGCCCATACTTCTGTTTTTTTGGCATCTTTCTNTGCATCTCTGTCTACTTGTTGCAGCTACGCCAGTGGCCACTTCTGCGACCACATAAAATATGATAATACAGGAAGCGCATACTGGTTAGTTAGCATGGTGTGAGAGTGGAATGGACAAAATAATCGCTAATCTGCGCAACTACTCCTTCGACGCACGCGACACGGACAATGAAGAACAAGCGTTTGCCAATTTTTTATATTTATTTTTTTTCGGGTGGTGGGGGGGGGGCGATTAGGCCAATTCAGTTTGGTGTTATGATACAAGTGGGTTCTAATGCGAAAACAGGAATCAATAGAGTGTGGCCATAATGAGAGTATGCAGAAAGGAAGGGCTTACCTCATATATATTTACTTCGATTTTGAATAAAGGCTCAGATTGCAATTTCTTGGCATTCCAAAAAGGAAAAAAAATATCTTTCAATTCCGAGGTCTTTTGTTCGGATATGAAGTTTCTTCCTTGATTAAATTTTGTTGATCATGAAGCAGCTCTTGATCACCCTAGAAAAACTTTTATTGGATTGTCGTGTGAATATAGGTTTAACTTCCATGGCACTCAGTTTAAATGAATGCGGGAGAATTATCTGATGCTCATTGTGCATGTTCAAACAATAAATTAAAAAAGTACTATGGATCAAGGCTGCCTTACTGGTGGTGTGTTCTTGGACTCGAGCAAGGCGTTCGAATTGATTGATCATTTCATCTTGAAAGCTAAACTTTCATCTTGAAAGCTAAACTTTCATCTTGAAAGCTAAACGCTGGTTTGATAATTATCTGTCTGGTAGAACTCAGTCTGTCTGCGTCAATGGAACCACCGCTGAGCCCATGGATTTGAACTCTGGTGTACCTCAAGGGTCTGTCTTAGGACCCTTGTTATTCCTTATCTTTATCAACGATCTTCCAAACTGTGTCAAGCAAAGCAAGGTTATTTTATATGCGGAGGACACAGCACTGTTCTTCGCCAACACGGATGTAAAGATCATCGAACGTGTCCTCCTTGAGCAATTAGTTCCGTGATAATGGTGTGATAGTTAACAGATCCAAGACAGATATCATGGTGTTTGGCACAAGTCAGCGTCTAGCTAAAGCTAGTAGATCTGTACATGTCCTAAAAATGTCACAATCATTTCTTCCTGTAAACGATTTTTCTAAATACTTAGGAGTCATTTTTGATTCGAATTTGAACTGGCATGGACATATTAATACAATAGCTTCGAAAGTTTCTCGTAGACTTGGACTCTTGAGTAGAATTAGAAAATATATTAGCATTGATGTTTGTAAGCAATTGCATCATTCAATTGTTCAACCATTATACGAGTATTGCGATATTGTCTGGTCAAATTCAGAAAACATATTTGGATAGACTGTTAAGATTACAAAAACGAGGTGCACAGCTCTTTAAGGAGTTAGGTTGGTTACCATTCAAAGAGAGATTGACTTTCCACAAATGTCTCCAAGTTTTCCGCTGCATAAATGGTTTTTGTCCATCCTACTCATTGAATTTGTTTTCTCGTAATTTGGATATACATAATTATAATACTAGGGGACGCAGTAATATTCATTTGAATAGGATTTCATCTAAATCAGGAAGTAGATCATTTTCTTATGGAGCCGCTAAGCTTTTTAATGACTTACCAAATCATGTAAACAATTCTGAATCGATGAGGAGTTTTACTTCAAACTATTGGTTTGAGAAATGATTGTATGTAATTTTAGTTGTATATATATATTTAACCTTTATACTTATTTATTTATTTTATTAATTTAATTTATTTATATGTATATTATAATTTATTTTGTACACAGCTTCAATGTAAATAAGTGTCAACTTTTTTAATTCTGTGTATGATAAAGTTATTATTAATATTATTACTTGATATTGCATGCACTGCTTCTTTACATTTCTTTGTCAATCATCTTACTTTATTTACTAGATTATGCATTGAAACGCTGAGAAGCTACATAGGAGTGAGCTACTCAGGGTGTGTGGAAGGGTGAAAAAATTTCCTGACGAACACAGTTTTACTCTTTCTACTTACTTGTTTAATTGGCCAATGCAGCTCCGATTGTCATACGATGTTATTGTAATGAACCAATAGCCTTTTGCAGCTAAGCCATCACGTGACCTACTTTTCATGAAATTATGGGCTATAACTTAGCCGAATTCAGAAAAGGAAAAAGCATTTCGAAAATAACAAAATGGCCAAGTTTGAGGCCTCCATTATTCAAAAATGAGATTTGATGACACTCTGAAAATTTTAACAAATAAGGTTCATATGGAAAAAGTTGCTGGAGAGCAAGGCCTTGCTCTCCAGCAACATTTTCCATACAAATCCTCTAAATTTTCCGAAAGTTCAAACCGCTGTTAAAACAGTGCTCTGTGATTCCCGGGGTCCAAACTTGGCCGTGTTGGTATTTTCGATATGCTCTTTCCATCTCTGGTATTCTTCAAGTTGCATCCCATAATATATATCTAAAATTTATCACCTGACCCCAGCTGCAAAAGGCCTGTTAGGCGATACTTCGAAAAAAATAACGATCAAAGTGCCGGCGATTCAGTTATTATCTCGTTACGGTTTTTAGTTTATTTCATTCTCCTCCGTTTAAATGCATCAAGATTCACCCGATTGTGATCATCCATGCAACCCGGGAATGCTGGAAACAATTTGACTTCCTTTGGTTCGCCACTCGCTCTATCATTTTTAATTACTGTTTGCAAGTTATTTATGGACGCTTGGCTAGTATACGTCTCCTTTGCATCTTCCTCGTTGTTTCCAAACACTGCAAAATTCCCCACGGCATCACCATTTTTGACACAGCAGCCGGCAGTCCAAAGAGAACTAGGGATTGTTATGGCAGGGAATTCAGGAAGATCCTCCTCAGGCAGTTTGGGTGCTTTAATTGGATCATTGATTTTATACCGGTTTGTATGTGGATCCCAATTAATAAATGATGTTCCAGTGAGGAGATATAAGGTTCCATCATCCTTAGTACAGTCATTTATGGCATAGTCGCGTATCTTTCCCTCAAACTGAGACCACTGACCACTGTTAAAAGCTGGTCGCTGTGGCACCGCGTTCGTGTAAAAGAAAGTGGATCGGAAGCCGGCGCCCTCATAACCGGTATCTGATAAAGTATGTGCAGGTGCCAAGTGCCCTCGGTGAAATGGTAAGCTGGGATATATCTCGTCGCGACCTTGTTCGTCAATGCCTTAAAAAAAATTGAATTATGTCTTACAGATACATGATTATCGTCTAGGATTTTGCTGTTATGAGCCCAACTATACCAAACTACTTTAAACTACGCCGTACTTACACCAACTACACCACAAACAATACACCATATCCGACTAAAACTGCCAAAAGTATACCATCTAAAACAAACTAAATGTACACTTGACTGGTTCGTTGCTTGGAACACTAGGGTTTAAAACAAGTCCTGTATGTTATGTAATAAAATTAACCTAGTTTAAGAAGCTAACTACCTTCGGTTTGTCTCCATTTTGGACGCGTCCATGCCTTGAAGTCTACCTTATCTTTTGTAAGAGTATAAGCTGAGTACACCGGAATTCCAAATTGCTTGTCGAACATTGTTCCATAGTGGGTTCCATCTTCTTTATAATCTTTTTGACAGATGTATTTTATGTAGAAATTAAATGAATCTCGCAAACCCTCTGGTGGTACATTTCCTGCAAAGTGTTTGGTGAAGCAGCCAGCCCCTTTGCCACCGTAAACAGTTTTTCGGTTTCCTGTGATATCTTGCCGGTTACCTAAGAAAAGGGGAAATTAAAAATGTGATACGAAGCCATTCAAAATGAAATCTGGAAGTTTCGCTGTTTGTTTTGGCTATCTTATTTTCTATAGCATGGTATAGGTTATAGTTACGCTTAGCACTTTTTATCTTACGTTTTTCGTGTGTTACGGTAACTGATTACCGGCAGAAAGATAATAACCTCGCTATTTCCACGAAGCACAATTTATTTAACTGTAAACAACAAAGAGATAACTTAACACGAGCTAGAGACTACTCTTGGAACAATCCAACTAAAATTAATTATGTACTTCTCTACGCTTATCTGACCACAAGCAAAGTACTGTCCTTCTCTTTGGCGAAATATCCTGAAGACTTCTTTGGCAGTATCGCACTCCACGGTAAACAACTCTGAACTTGACAGCAGAATGTCAGTCAGTCTCACATCCGAACGGGAAATTCCCTTCAATTGTCACTTGTCACACAATATCGCTTGTAGATCACAAACAGGGAACGAAGTCCCAAATCACAACAACAACCTGACTAGTGAGCTGCTTATGTAGGCATCCGAAGAGAGTCTAGAAGTTTCCAAAAGTAACTATTTATAACCACTGCAATAGTAACAATTTATAACTATTACAATAAACTCTATTTTTAAACTGATGAGTCACAGTTCTAGAAAATTCTTGAGACAACATATTGCGTGACATTGACTTTCGCGAACTTTCTGGACAATTCCGATCCTTGTAACACGTGGTTTACCATGAAATATCTGAGTTGTAACACTTGTATTTTCTCAGTATACGCGCACGCCTACAGACTCTGTGGTATGCAGAGAAAATTCAAGTCACTCGGTGGACATTCCATGATGTTTCACTAAAAATGAAACATACCTATTACATCTTAAACGAAAATGAAAAAGTAAAGCAAGAAATTTTTCAAAGCAACCATATCAAACAGATTTTGATGTTTAAAGAACTCGATGAAGATATTTAATACGTTTTTCCAGTCCATTTCTCTTCAGGAAAGAAAAAGGAAACGTTTCAAACCAGAGACGCATTTGCTTTAAAACTTATTGATAACCAGTTGTCAGTTGTCGCATTACTCGTTATTCTAATCGGGACTTGATAACACTCATGAAAAAACAAGGGAGGGCGAACATTTACGGTCTTGAAAGTAGTTGGGGAGAACTCGGGCACCAGACGCCATCTTTAAGAACAGTACATACGAAAAGTATTCAACCGATGAGAAAGCTTCTATGCCGTTAAAAATATATATCTTTGCCGTTATCTTGGGCTTCTTACAAGTTTCTTTTTTAATTTTTTATTTCCTAATTAAAATTTTTAAATTTTTTGTCCTAACAATGTTCACTACTACTGTATGTAGTGATATTTCATTCATCAAATTTATTTTTAACAGGTACCTTTTACACCGCATGACAGTGTAGTCTAGTGCAGGGGGATTGCTTGCGGAAATGCTTGCAAAAAGAGCGATCTAATGAAAATAGCAATGAACTCTTCGGCGATAGAAGACAGGAACAGCCAGTCACTGATAAAAAAAAAAAGTTTTTACTCTTCAATGTAGGCTCTCTCGTCTCCGTAACCTCAGTGATACATTCTTGTATATCCTTTCAATTTTTAGATATAGACGGGTAATCATCTAAAAATTTTTCAGTTTCCGCTGTAGTGGACTACCATTTACGACAATGGAAGCTATTAATCCAAACATTAGCAGGAAGTGTAGAATCTTTACAAGAAATGCCTGCATCTTAACATCAGAGTCAACGAGTGAGGAATAGAATTCTCGCTGACCGTCGAAAACGAATGAGAAAAACCTGACAGCAAAACGTTTCTTATGGAAACAATTTCTTTATGGAAGTTTACCGGTTGAATGGATGGTCAAATAGCCCAGCGGACGTCTCAGTATAATTGGTATTGCCTAAATGAATCCAACTGATTTCATTACTCACAGATGAAGACCATTTTTCTTTTTTTTGTGCAATTTAAAACCAGTTCTTAATTATTGAATGCTCTTTCAAATAGCTTCAAATTTTTAGGATTTTTAAAATGTTTAAGATATCTAAAAGCCCTTTTGAAGTACATTGGATATTTCACATTTTAAGCAATGTTTAGTCTGAGCCTGATGAGTGGACAATGAACTTGTAACAAATTTAACCGACAAAACCATTACGAAAAAAAACAAAAAAAACAAATCAAATCCCATCTTTACTTAAAAAACAGTTTAAAAAAGCTAGGAAGGCGCTGGATTTATCGAAGCGAATAATAAAGAAGCCTTTTAAAATATCAGTTTCAAGGCTTGTGATATCTTTAGGCGTTTTCCATTGGGTACCCAATCGACCGCCGTATTGCTGCGTTCAAAGCATTAGGAGTTTGTTTCTTCAGGGATTACGTGCTCTAAAGAGTTTATGTAATCTAAA